TTAATTATATCTAACATTAACTCAATCCACCTATTATTCGTATCAGTGAGTCGTGCATTTTTCGTAGATTTTATGTCAAAATTTATATAGTAAGTAATTTACAATTCATATTTCAAAAAATAACAAAATATTTTTGTTTTTTTGTGGGTTCAGATCGTTTTAAAATTTTATTTTAAAGTTAATCTACGGCTAATATTAACCTAATTTAATAGAAAATAGGAAAAATAGGAACCCTAACGGTTGTTTGGAGTGACCTTTTTCAAAATACTTCTAAAATTTGTTTATTTCTCATAAATATTTTTTTAAAAAATAGTGTTTAAAATCGCCCCATCACTACCTCTACCACCACTGTCGCTGCCACCACCACCACCGATGTTGCCACCATAAATCATAACTACCGCCATTGTCGCCATCGTCGCCACACCACCACCACCACCTCTATCACCGTCGCCGCCGCAACCATCACGATCATTGCCAACCCACATAACCATCACCGTCTCCTTCCACAACTATTGTCGCCCATCACCTCTCATATTCACTTTAACCGATATTTAAATTTATTTATCTCTCTTTTATGTTTGTGATTTAATTTTGGATATAAATATAAATATGTTTATTATAAACTATTTTTTTATTACTATGTGTCTATAGACACATACAATAACTAGTATATCCATAATAGATAAAGTACTCCCGTAGATTACTTGTTCATACAGATAATCTACGATTAAGAAAAAATGTGCCGGGTGGATCCTAGTTTTTTTATCCTGGTGAGCTTCTCAGTCCAATAGTCTTATCTATATAAAAGCCCAATAAAAAGCCCAAAATCTGATGTCTTAAAACGCCGACGTTGTAGTATGTGACGTACCAGTGCTTTTTTTGAATGCCGAGCAAGAGGAAGAGGAAGAGAGCGGTGGAGAGAGAGAGACCCACCATACACCCTCGAAAACAAGTACTCCGATAACCCACCGGACTTTGGACTCTTGGCATCTCTTTATCCTTCTTTCGAGCCCTTCGTGTTCTTCTCTCGCGATGGTCGACCCAGAATCGACTGGACCGACTTCAAAGCCACCCGAGAACTCACCAGGGTTTTGCTCCTTCACGATCATGGCCTCAACTGGTAATGAGTATCTATGTTATATATATAGCTATATCACTCTGCATGTTTATTCGTCTATTTGTTTTTGTGGGTTGCTTTTCTTTCCTCCCCCCCCCCCCCCCCCCCCCCCCCCCACAAATTCACTTATACACAATTCATCTATGTAAGCAGTAAAATGGAGTTTTGGGTGAGGGAGTAAGAAAGATAAAGACTTGATCTCATGCTTTATATCTGTAGCTCAACAGAGACACCAAACTTAGTTCCATGAATGTTTATGCTTTTTTTGTGTGTCTATTGATGGTATTTGAAAAATTCAAGAATTTTGATTCTTTTATTCTCTAAACAATTTGTTTGGGACTGCATTGACTTTCCTTGCAGCCAGTTGAATCATTAGTACTTTTTTTTTTCCAGAATCAGTTATAGTCTTATGGTTGCTTGTGTTGTACTTAGCCTTTTGAGAATAGGGGGTGGTTTTGTGTGCTTTGGTTTTGATGTCTTGCTTAATGTACCCTAAATTTGGCAATGTAGGTGGATTCCAGATGGGCAGCTCTGCCCAACGGTGCCCAACAGGTCCAATTACATCCATTGGATTGAAGATCTTCTGGCATCCGACATAATCTCAAACAAATGTGCGGATGGTGGTCTTGTACGGGGTTTTGATATTGGAACTGGGGCCAATTGCATTTACCCTCTTCTTGGTTCATCACTTGGTTGGAGCTTTGTTGGTTCAGGTAGTTTCTTCTATCTATGGAATATGGATTTGTTTATCAAACTTGCTTGGTCACCAAAATTTTCTAATGCTGTTCAAGATTTAATAAGATTTTTTGCTGCTAACTCATTTGCAGATGTTACTGATGTAGCACTAGAGTGGGCTGAGAAAAATGTTAAAAATAATCCACATATTTCTGAATTAATCGAAATCAGAAAGGTTGACACTGAGGAGAGGTCATCTTTTAAGCTAGAGTCACATAGTAGCCAGTCAGTTGATAGGGAAAGCAGTATACATTTAAGTGAAACAAAGGCTGAGGACACAGAGTGTTCGAACTCAACTTTACCTGAACTACGTTCCGGAGTGAATAAGAGTTATTATGGACCACCCATGCTTGTTGGTGTTGTCAAAGAAGGGGAGAGATTCGACTTTTGTATGTGCAATCCTCCATTTTTTGAGACAATGGAGAAAGCAGGATTGAATCCAAAAACTTCTTGTGGTGGAACTCCACAGGAGATGGTTTGTCCTGGTGGAGAGCTGGCTTTTATCAGTTGCATTATCGAGGACAGTGTTGAATTGAAGCAGTCTTTTCGGTAATAATTGATTCCCGCACTCTTGTTTTTATTCATCTTTAATTCCTAAAGATACTCATCTATGGCATGTGTTAATTCGGGTAGGTGGTACACTTCGATGGTGGGAAGAAAATCAAACCTGAAGATTCTTATGTCGAAGCTTCGGGAGGTTGGAGTGACGATAATTAAGACAACTGAATTTGTTCAAGGGCAGACATGCCGCTGGGGGCTTGCTTGGTCTTTCATATCTCCTGCCAAGAAGATAATATCGTCCCATATGGCTCAGAAAAATAACCTGTCTTTCATGCTTGAGGTTTGTATGTCATTTTCTTAGTCTGCATCAATTGTCCAGGTGAATTGATTTTATTGTAAAAGTATATTTCATCCATTCTGATGATAAATATTGTGAAACTGAAAATATGTCAGCCTTTTTTCACATTATGTCCTGTCTCTCATCCCTCCATCGTGCATGTGAGGGATTTTATTTTACAAAGGTTGGAAATTCATAGAGCTGAAACGATGTCAATTAATTGATGAATTTTATGTAAAGCCTTGGGATATTTAATTTTTGAAAGCTTTATTATTATACCATGCAGTCTCTGCAACTATGTTCTGTTTGGTTTGTCTGCCTGGCTTTATCACTCTAGAGAAGTAGAGGGGAGTGAGGATGGGTTAGCACTTCAATTTTCTGACCTTTTTCCAAACTTTTTGGCAACTTTTCAGAGAGAGATTACATACACATGCATATATTTCTGTGGTGGGTGATTATTCTGTTGTCAGAAATCAATTGCATGATATCCTAGATCCACTCACAGGTTTGTTTGCGAACTAAATTAATCAATGCAAACTTCATTCTTTATGTCGTGATTTGTTGTTCCCAAGGATAAGAAATTCAAATGCAAAACACAGGTATGCCGGCTGTCCAAGATACTTGCATATCAATCATTAGAACTAAGAAAACTGTTGAGGATGAACACCCTACTGAATATTCAGGGAATTCCTGTTTAATATGTATGTAGTTAGTTTTCATGATAAACCAGCTATAGGGTAAATAAACATGTAGGAAACTACTGTTTAAATAACAGGTTGCGAAACGATCAACCTTTTTAACTTGAAATTGATTTGCAAAAAAGGCCAACTTTGCATTTTGCACACCACATTTACCAAGTTCCATGCACACCTGACCATCCTTGAACTCTTTTGGCTAAATTCATTTGGAATATTCCTTTAGACTGCCAGAATATCCCTTGTAGGTGACATTGGCCATGGCTATTCATTACTTTGACAATTGTACTCATACTATCTTCAGTTGCACTACTGAAATGATACAAGTCAAGGACCATAATTTTCTGCATTAGGGCCAACCAGATGGCAATTATCATACTATAGAAATTTGTTCTATTCACTCCCCATCCTTATTGATAAATGGCCTAGCTATCTGCCTGAGTTTCAACAATTTTTGCCCTGCTCATGAACAATCTTGTGGTATAGAGTATAGACATGATCTAAAATTCTTGCTTCTTAACATGAACATGTCAAATCATTTAATCCATATTGAATCATCATTCTTGCAAATGTCCAAAATGTGTGTTGCAGCTTTATTCCAGTCTACTAAGCTTTTTAATCCCAAACCACCTTCGTTGGTTATAGTACATACCATCTTCCAGAAAATATTTGCAGCAGCGTGTTCTAATTCCGGTCCCAGTCAATAAAAGTGCTTGTAGAATCTTCTCAATTTGTTCCAAAACCTTCGTAGGTAAAATAAGTGCACTATTCCAATGGACTGGCACGGAGTGCTGGACGGATTGGTTAAGCTGAAGATGACATGCAAATGGTAGAAACTTGATGACCAACTCTTAACCCTTAAAAAAAAGTTCTCTAGAAGTTAGTTGCACTCAACTCCCATCAATCTGGTAGATATAAGCTGCGCTCCGAGGTATGGAACTAGTGAATGATCTTCAGGCATGGCTAGAGTTTTAAGAAAATAAAATTTCTAGCAATCATCCATACTAGGGAAACATAAAGTGGCACGCTTTTGAAGAGTAGCTTTTAAGGTTTGTGCAGTTCAGCAGGTACCACCACATTGGATAAACAAATCATCTATGAAACTTACATGTGAGATATGAAGCTCAGTGCACTTTGGATGATATATAAGTTCTTATTCCTGTATCTTTTCCTAAGCAATTCATTGGATACTTCCAAAATCATGAAGAAAGGTCACTTTCAGGTCAGAGATGTTGAGCTTGAGACATTTTGAATGATATGTAAATTCTGATTCCAAAAACTTTTTCCTAAGCAATTCATTAAATAACAAAGCCCCATTGAGAGCAATGAAAATTTTGGAGTTTGGACACGAGATTTTGTCCAGCCTGTTGTCTCTCTAAATGGTCCAAAATTTCAAACACATGAATGCAGCCTTCAGTTATACAATGCCTATGTTTATGTCTGTTCTTTTGAATCTTTTGTTCGGACCATTGACATATCATTCTGAATTATACTGCCCATCCAGGGTCTTCAGCGCCAATACACTGCCATTCAGGTGTTGCAATCAGTGGAGTCCTTTTTCAGTGCCGTTGGTGCATCTTGTAAATCAAATTCCTCCACATTTAATGTTGAAGTATGCTCAATCACTTCAACATGTGGTTGTGATGTTCTGTGATGTAATTTTTCTATATCCTTACTTGGAACACTCTTTCATGTACATAGGTCACTGTAACAAAAGACCACTTTGATTTAATTATGAAAGGTGAGAGACCAAAAATCAATGAAGCGGGTAGTTGCTGGTATGAAGTAGAGAAATTTAATTATCCAAGAAGTCTGGGCCATCCATCCGATGATTTGTGTTTCCGCATCTTGGTAACTTTTCCTCAGTATTTGACTAGAATATAATGTCTTGCTGCTGCTTAAACATATTTATGATGGTATTTTTATCACTATTTATAGGTCTTCCAACAAATCCCGGGCACACTTTTGGTGAAAGGATCATTGCAGCATAAAGAAAGCCCAGTCTCAGGTAGTCACCTATCTTTCTTGTCGAAGGGTGTGCTTTAATTTAAACAGAGTTAATTTAGCTGTTACAATAGCACTCTAAGTACCTTTAACTGCTATTCTGTAACCATTTTGCTAGAAGCATACTTCTCAACTTGACAAAACAAAGCCTTTGTTCTATTTTCCATTAGAACAACTTTCTTCATTTTGCTCTTTTTATGTGCTCATGTTTTGAATATTTTATCAAAACCTATACTCTATCATAGGCTCACAAACTTGGTATTTATTGTCTTACTGGTGTCATAACGCCTTCTACCTGAGCCATGCTACACCTATGTCGGTTTCATCATTTTATCATCATCACCCCTGTGTCTCATAGGTGATGCCTGCTTCTTTTTGGACTTCATGGGTGATGCGTAGTTCAGCCTCCTCTTTGTGGATATGTAAACAATTTAAGATCACGAGATCAATGGGTGAGGAGTTTTCTAGGCTCAGACCTTGCAAGTTTGTTCTATCTACTACTGTTTCTAGGTTGACAGTTTTCAGTTTGTATTTTCTCGGATTATTAATGGCAACTTCAGCGGTTGCCAACATTAGTCTGCTACATGGGGAAAACTTAGATTAATGTTCTATTGTATCAAAAATTTTCTTACATCAAATTAATAAGCAAAATGTGTATATTTGTGCTGGATAAAAATCAGTGTCTACTTCCAGATGGGTTACTTTTCTGCAACCAATTCTACCATGCATTCTTAATTTTTATTTACAGGGGTTTTTTTGTTTGCAGGGGCTTTCTCATTGATATTCCAGCAACTAGAAGTAGTTCTGAAAGATAAATTTTGTACTGAGAAGGCATCAGCAGCTGCCTCGTACTCTAATCGTTCACAATAACAGTGTATGATTTGCTGAACTCATACTTGTAAGATTAAAATTTGTACCATATTTTTGGGATATTTACAATGAAAATGTCAGAATTCAACTTGTAGCAGTAGAGTGGCAAGAACGCATAGTATACAATGTTTATTATAAATTTTCATGGTTATGTGATGATTTCTTGTGTCATTAATTGTTAATAACATTAATTGCGGCTGTTGTTTTGTTTTATACGCAATTTCAGCTTAGGCTTTTGGATCACTTGAGGTTGTCTACACGTCTCTTCCTTTTTTTTGTTGTCTGATCATTCTGCTTGCTTGAGGGCCTATTTGTATCCCGCGATCTTGTTCCTGTTCCATTCATCCCATACTGCCTGACCACACCCACATTCATGTTTCTTATATCTGACTGGTTGATCCCATAATTTCACTGAGATTTCTGTTGGATATCTCTTACCTAGCCAGGTTTTAGGATAGCAGCTGAAATGACTCTTTTTTTGGAAAATTAAGTAAAAAACTTATAGAAAGAAAATGGTTCCCGCAGTAATATTGAATTACAACAAATCTAGATACTTACACCCAGTACATAAACATCACATATCTGGCAGACCTCTATAAGTTTTAGTCAAACAAAGTGATCAAGGTACAAAAAATCACACCCGGGGCAGCAACAACAATTCACATTTTCTTACAGGAACAATAGGAAACCAGAAGATGATCTAGATCAGGTAGATCATGCATAGAAGAAGACTGTCAACATTAGATTCAGGCCTTTCCTTCAACCCTTGCATATGTCAACCCAACACAAGCATCAACAAAATCCTCATTGATGAAATCGGTTGAGAAAATCTGCAACCGATCAGCCAAACCCTTAGAGAAGCACTGAGTGATAAAGAGTCTGCCATATCCATGAATCCGACCGGTCACCGGTCTAACGCACAGAACCGGGTTATCAGCTTGTGGCGTTGCCGTGTTCTCCACTCTGTAAAAGAACTTCCGGGATGTCACTGGAGGTTGCTCGCTTAAATGCTTCAAATTGCTGTCAAACTTTGTCGATGGCAGATCAGTATCAATCCAGTTATCCTTCAAATACCCAGAACTCCATAAAGATCCTCCTGCCTTGGGTTGAGGCGATTTTCTCGGCTTCCAAACACAAATAATTCTCTTAGGCAAGAGTTCTGCTACTGTCTTTCCAAATACGTTATCATCTTGGTGGATCAGAAATTCACCAAGTTCTTCCTCCAAATACTTCTCAAACTCCGGAGGGTCTTCGTGTCCAAACTCCGTTCGAATCTCCAGAATTATAATCTCTGACTGAGTTTCAGACAGGAACTTCTTGACATCATTGATAACAACATCAACACTATATGTCGTAAGAATTCCATGGCAGACCCGTCGATCCTCCTGAACACGGATATCAACTACACGGGCGCCTGTTGCAAGCTGATCATAGATGGACAGAGATTGGCACTGTGCGAATGGGCGAGTAATGAATGGAAGTCCAATCTTATTGGTTGCAGAATCATGAGTCCCTGGCCACACTATCTTATTTACGTAAATTTTTCCCGGGTCGAGGCCTGACATCCAATTTTTCCGATCAGAAGGGCGGTAATCGCAACCGGGGAAATCACAGCCACGGCTTTGTTTGAGGTCGCATAGAGTTTTCTTCTCTGTTGAGATTGTTTTGCGTCGTTCAACTTGTTTGGAGAGATGGGCACCCATTGTTAGAACCAGAGAAGAAGAAGAAGAAGAAGAAGAAGAAGAAGAAGAAAAATTCTGAATTGTTCTTCTTCTTCTGGTTTCTTTCTTGTTGCTTGTGTTGTTATTGGTGATATTGTTTGTGCAGGAAAGATTGGGTTTTTAGGTTTTAAATATAAAGCATTTTAACGTCTTCTGTTCATTATGGGGTTAGATAGTGCATCAATTATGATATGAAGTTTACTCTCTCTCCCTCTCCCTCTCAAGATGTTTTGGATAAATTACAATGATATACCTTGACATTCCAAGAATAACACGGCTGCCTCTTAATATTTGGACAATGACACGAAGAATTCTTCCAATGTTTGTAGTAGTCAAGCCTTGTCCGACTCACGTTCCTAACAGCACAATTATCAACCTTATTCGTGTTTAAATTTCTAATTTTATCTTTCATTAGGATAATTATCAACCTTATTCGTACTTAAAGACACGGTGTAACGTAAGTGAGAAGTGATAGATTTAGGAGGGAAAAAAATTCAATGTAAATAGTTTTGATATGGATGTTGGTGATCGTTAACTGAATCTATTTGAGATCGTCGGATCTATTTATTAAAGTCTATCATGTTTTATATTATAGAATATTTTCGTATACACATAGAGATCAAACATTACATGCACATAAATACATAGACTTAGTTTAACCAATTCAACTATCAATCAGCCAATGCATATGGTATAAACCACTAAAACATCAATTGGTATCCTTGTCCCATTTATGAATTACATGGGAGTGTGTGGCCGTATAATAATTTTTATAAATATCAAGGGATGAGGGATGTGTTTGTAATTATCTAAGATTAGACATCTTACCTGTTCTTGTGTAGGTGGGCCGGCTGTTTTGAATTATTGGTGGGAGTGTAGATACAATCGATTATTATGTTATGTATATCTATATCCTTCCTTGGTTGGTCCCCCTCGTATAGCTGTCCCATTATTATCCGATCTGCATTTCTTGTGTATACATTACGATTAGGATAGCTAGGCTGGTAATTAGTCTTATTTTATTGGATTCATATGTATAAATTATTGATGGGACACTTCTAGAAGAGTGTTAGATCAACGATACGTCTTCTCAGCTGTGAGGGACTTCCCTTGCCTCTACCGAGGCCACATGCCCTCGACCCCAAGACCCCTGTTCTGGCCGGTATGTTTCTTGACTCCGGGGCGCGTTCCCTCGGCTCCAAGGTATCCCTTGTTGGGGTAAAATTCTATAATTTTACAAATATTAATTAACAATATAATTATAAAACACAAGATAACAAGAATTCAATTAAATATATAATACAATAACATGCGATTAGAACAATACAAAATAAAAAATAATAAATTAGAAAAAGCTGGCATGTGATATTTGGCAGACGTGTAATCACTGTTCTAAAGCAGTTATGCCTCCCCACGTGAAGGTACTAACGAACATATGCAGCTCCAAGATCCAACCTAAATATGCTCACAATAATACTTCCTTAGGGGTCACGTCCACTGGAAGGTTGAAGTGAACTTGACTCGAATCGACGTTGTCCAAAAACATAATTGGAAGATACATGTACAATATATATATAAAAAAATACATACTAAAAAAAAAACACTCTCATTATATGACCTCCTTTTATATTTGAGAATGCTAGCCATTAGAGATTTTTAAAGCCCATCATCTATTAACCCCCACCAAATAAAAGCATTCAAATGTCAAATTAAAACAAAATATAATTACTCATAAAATTCAATTAAATTCTAAATTAAAAGGGACCCATTAAAACATATAAAATAAATTGAGTGAGAAATTTTAAAGCTTTTATTTTTCCAACAATCCTCCACAAGTTTTAAAATTTTGAATATCAATGATAAATATAATTTTATACATATATAAGCATAAAATGAGCATAGAAAAATTAGGGCAACTATAATACTGTGTAATGAGTGTAGGTGTCTTCCGGACTTGAACCTCACTTAGTATTGATAGTCTCCCTCTGAAGGATCATAGTGAGCAAAGGCTTGAATTAGACCTTTTGAGCCAGAGTTCAACTATCATACACACAGTACCGATATTGGTTAGGATTCGTGGGTCAGTGCGTTTAACTACCATGCACTTGATCTTGATTCTCATGAGAGTTTCTAAAGAATAGCCCAATTCTTATAGTCGTGACCTCACGACTACTCTCACTTAAGTGAGTCCTCCAAGGGTACATGTGCACAATACCCTGCAGGAGTGTTCCTGCCTCGGTTTCATTCAGGATAAAATCATTTCTTACCGTCACACTACATATGCACCTCTATCGTAGGGATGAACATGAAAATATCTCCTCTTAGGATATTTTCTTAACAACGGTGCTAATGAGTCCCGCAGTATGAATTGTTTCTATCCATTGAACTTCCTTCATGGGGTTCCTAATCACAGAAGTTGGATTACCTCCCTAGGTGACTCCCTTGCTGGCTTAGGCCCATCCCCCTCGGCAGTTGTTGAGACAATTTTTCTCAAAAACTTGGCTTTCCTCGAAAGTTCAATGATGAAAGTAATCATCTTTTATATATTCACGTCTCATGACTTTCCTTGAAAGCTGTATCATTATTCGTTAGCTTTGTTTGAATGAGATTTATAATTTTTTTTTCTTACAAAATGATATCATTCTTCATAGATGAAAATCTTGCTCGAGCGTACACGCCTCCGTTCCTTCTTATTGATATTAATCTAACCTGTCGCAAACATTACTGATAAATGCCACATTAAAATGCATTTGTTTGAGACGATTTAAGGGCCACAAATAAATAATTTAGGTAAGAAACACTTTATATAAGCATCTCAATACAGTGTACCGTTGCAATTTTCAAGACCAATGGACAGATACCGAAACACAACTTATAAGAAAATTTTGATCACATGTGCACCATTATTCCCCCACATTTCAGAGTTTTGACGACAGTAAGTAAAACACATGATTGTCACATAGTTGTAAGGAGATGCAAGCTAAGAATTTTAAAATTAATCATCAGTTAGTAATTTTAAATTTTAAACTCCAGTAACAACCTATTTGACTTCATTCTTAGCTTGATGGATAAGACATGATAATTAGATATTAAGTAGCCAAGGTTTTATATACGTATCTAAGATTAAAAAATGTTGGGCATATTTCACAATCGGCATTAAGTTTATATAATAGAGGTTGTATAGGTTTGGGTTTTTGGGAACTCAAACGGCTAAAATGGTCAACTTATGCAGACCCATTTCTAGAAGCAGAAGAAATTTCACTTTGTCAATTAAAAACAAATAGTTAGCCTTCAACCGTTAATTTGATACAATAGTGACGGTTGATTATCTTGAACTTGTTCTTGGTAGGCACTTGGATATAGACTACCGAAACCTGAAATGTATTTTGAATTTTTGATACAAACTATACTATGAAATATTTTCAGTTATATGGAAGTTCTCTTTTTATAGTGAAGTGGCGAAAAGATCTCCCTACTCTAAATAGTGGTCAAATCCTTTATTAGCTTATGAACTCAATCAATACTTAAAATAGTCCACAAGAGAATAATTGATTATACAAGTGTAACATTTCAAACTTTTAAGTAATATTTTAATAATAACAATAAATAGTGCCAAGGTCTTAGGCCTGTTTCTCGCAAACAAATCAAAATCCCTTAATACCTTTACTAACAACAACCACTTTTGTTTTACACATGAGGTGGCATTAATTGATCAATTACTCACTTAAACAATAAAATATAAAAATTTGATAAATATATAGAGACTAACGACTGTAGGAGATAGAAACATGGTATGTTAGCATCATGAGCGATAATTACCATCCTTATGCATAAGCATATATGATAGGTATATATGATGAAGTCATGTATTCATCTATGCAATTGTATGTATGTCAAGAATTAGACATCTAAAAATAATTACCAATTACATGGCGGTAGTATTTTAGATATTCATGAAAACTGACAAATAAGTAACATTGATTTTGGTATGAGAGCCCCTCATTGTTTCACCATGAAGGATATCTATATCTATGTAAGTATTAAAGTTGCTTGGAATTCTCGGAACTTACCAGTGTCTCCCATCTCTCATTATACATGTTATAAATTTTTCCATTTAAAGGGGTCAAACATGCATTTATCTAAAGGCAAGTCTGAATTCTGAAGGCTCTCAAATAATAGCTCAAAAAATAATTACACAAACTATAACACTATTATATATGATCTGTTACAAAACACTAAACATAAAATTATGCTTATTTTTTTTTTTCTGAAATCGTAGAATATACTAACGGATCAAGAATGTAAAGAAGGAACTTAAAAATGTGAGAAGCTTGTTTATCTATTCTTCCCTTCCTCATGTTTATCCCAAAGCCGAAATAGAACAAGAGGATATCATGGATGTTGTGACCCAAAGGAAAGTATTCCCTTATGTGACTATAATCTGGAAGCTTCTAATTGGTGTATATCCCAATACTATTTCATTATTTTTTTTTCTTATTTCTCCAGTTTTCCAAATCACAATTATTTTATTTTAAAATAATATAAAAAACAGTCCTTAAGACAATTTTAACCCAACAAGAAAATTATTTTTTCAAGGACTATTTCATTCAGAATTGCTTAGCTGCTTTAGATTCTTGGGGTAAAATTCTATAATTTTACAAATATTAATTAACAATATAAAACACAATATAACAAGAATTCAATCAAATATATAATTCAATAACATGCGATTAGAACAATACAAAATAAAAAATAAAAATTAGAAAAAGCTGACCTGTGATATTTCGGAGGCGTGTAATCACTGTCCTAAAACAGTTATGTCTCCTCACGTGAAGGTACTAACGGACATATGCAACTCCAAGATCCAACCTAAATATGCTCACAGCAGCACTTCCTTAGGGGTCACGTCCACTGGAAAGTTGAAGTGAACTTGACTCGAATCGACGTTGCCCAAAAACATAATTGGAAGATACATGTACAATATATATAAAAAAGAATACATACTAAAAAACATACACTCTCATTATGTGACCTCCTTTTATATTTGAGAATGCTAGCCATTAGAGATTTTTAAAGCCCATCATCTATTAACCCCCACCAAATAAAAGCATTCAAATGTCAAATTAAAACAAAATATAATTACTTATAAAATTCAATTAAATTCTAAATTCAAAGTGACCCATTAAAACATATAAAATAAATTGAATGAGAAATTTTAAAGTTTTTATTTTTCCAACATCCCCCACACCAGGGGCGAGCCG